AAAATACAGTACTCTTTACAAAGAGCTTACCCAACGAAGAGATAACAATTGGTGTTACATAACAGGATTCCAAGATTATGTGAGTGAAACAGAAGAAAAATCCCAAGGACCCATATGCATAATGTAGCTACTTTGAATATCTTCCATTATAACTGAACAATATAATTCAATACCTTACACAATACCTGCCGAGTTAGCAAGAAATCTCCTGTTCATTAGGCAAATTACAGGGCCTACAACCAAAGAACGGCCGCGCCGTCCAAGGCATGAACTGCCTTCGGTTGTTCGAATGCTGGGATCGTGCTTTCGAATCCTACTGAAGGCATGGATGTCTGTGTGTACTTTATTCTGTGTTTGTGTCGTCCTGTGTGTAGGTAGAGGCCTTGCGACGGGCTGATCACTCGTCCAAGGAGGCCTGCCGTCGTGTAAATGAGATTACGCAACTGAAGAAAAGGCCAGGGCCCGACAAAGGGATGTACAGCCATTGAAGAATGAATGAATGATTGAATGAGTAATGAGGAATTTTCCAACATGTCCAGGAATTGCATGTAATGATGTCCTCGTCAAAAGGAAAATGATTCGATGATTCTTTCACGTAACAGCGTGCTTCAGACTTTCCGTTTAGGATATCGTATTCGTGTTCCAAATGTTCTTTGGGTGCTCTATCGATTGCGCACGACTGAGTAGGCCTTTCGTGATGACGGAGATGGAGTTTAGTGTCCGAAACGTTGCTTTTTCAAATAAAAAGCAGGACGATGAATAATGCCCAACGAATCAATAAATATATCAATATGCCATCGTTACAAACTCTAAGAACCTATATTTTTGGAAGTTAATTCTGAATTTGCATAGGTCAGAGGACCGAATCTGCAAAAGCAGATGATGGACTGATTTCCTTACTGAATGCCGTATTTATCTTTGTGTTGAAGGCAGGGACAGTTGAGAATTTATTACATAAGAACTGCATGACGATTAAAATACTGTTCGGATTCGCACTTAATTTCTTTCACTGATTCGCTAATTCATTATAGAGGTATTTACTATTCCCTTTCACCTACGCATGCGCCGTTCCACTCCAGTGGTTGGGTAAACACTCAAAAGAGATGACAGTGAAGTGCTGCAAACCCACACACAAAACAAAAACACCCTGTATCAATTAAACACTGATGTGTGGTGCGTAATATTTCGAATGCGACTGGGGGAACCATTGCTTTTAGGACAGAGGGAATTAGAAACCCCAGTAGAGTCTTCTGATTCAATTCACTTCTCAGATGGCAAATCCGACTGATGTTATTAATAAACGTCGCAGACTCCCACTAACACCATAGAGCAGTCGTTCCTGAAAATGTGGTTAGAACTGGCACGGAAGGATAAAATAACAGCGACCATTCCTACATGTAACCCGATATAGATGGCAACGACGTTTCAGCAAGACATTCATCTTTATCTATATGGAGTATGATGTGTGTTCCAGATCGTCTGTGTGGTCTAGTGGTCAGAGTCCCTGGGTTCGCTTCCCGGCGCTACCAGATTTTCTGAGAAGTAGTGGTTGTGGAACGGGGTCCACTAAGCCTCGTGAAGATAATAGAGGAGCTATTTCAAGGACATGGCGCCTCAAGTCTAGAAAACCGAAACTAACGGCCGTGGGGATTCGTTGCGCTGACCACGCGACATCCTCTATCCGGTAAAGTTGGCACTAACTTCGCCGACAAGCGGCGGTCTATCGGTCGGTATAGTTCGCTTGACTAAAGTCACGGTTTTTTTTTTGTTGGGATAATATGAAAGGGATTGCTGGTTTCAGCATGGCAGCACGAATGCAACTGCTGAAAATCTCTTATGTAACCTCTTTTAAACAAACAATAAGAGATAATAAATAACAAGTCTGTCTTATTACTGCATATTGAGGTTACGTGCAAGGTTGCATGCACTGCCGTAACTTCGATCACGTTTTAAAAGTTATACTCTTATTTCGTATGAGCAATAAACTCAAAACCTTACAGCATTTCTGTATAGGAGAACTTCTTTATGGCCGGCCATTTTGGAGACTTTATATATTTTTTAAGTATAACATTAAAATATTTTTCTTTTCCTTTCTATTTCAATTAAAATGCCGGTGTTGCTTTAGTTAATACGCCCCGCACTTACATTTGCTCAACATAACCTTCATCGAAACTTGCCCTACCCTGCTAAACGCGTGTTTTTGTAATGCGATATGCAAATGACGCCTTGATCGAACTTCAAACTCTCCCTCGACAAAACCAATATACAGGTTTCTGTTCTATCCGAGTACAACTTTCTAGGCTGACGAAATAATTGGATGAAACAGGCTCACTTTCTGGCTTGTGACGCTGAACTATACAATCTCTCATTACAATTATATAAAAGCGCAGTAGAAATTAGCAACTTTATTATTAACTTCTATTTACATCATATTTTCAATTTACTTAACGACGGTCTGACCGAACAAGTTACCTGAAACTGCAGGACTAACGTTTCCGACGTGCATTTGGCAGGTCGCAGATTCAGACCTCGAACAAGGCATCGGCTATCTTGACATAGGATTTACATAGCTGTCCTTAGTCCGTACAGCAAACGTATATCCGGATATTGCTTCGAAATTAGGCGTGATGGTTTCCTTCGAAACCATTTCCAGTGCGTTGTTCACTAATAATTCTACAGTTCTGTGTCATATAATGCTAAAGTTAACCCTGTAACAGGCCGTGGAGGCCCATAGGGTTCTGAGACGTCGAGGCTCCCACATTTTCTAGACAATCGACTCACAGATGGCGGTGAGGTTGTCAGTCTTACGTACTGTCCGTCCTTTACTCCCAGGAAGGTGCTTGGCACTCATTTCTGTTTCTGAGTCGACCCCAGGGCCATAGTGCGGCTGGAAGGATTAGGTCAAGTGGAGAATTCAACGATTTCATCCTGTACCACAGTGCCTACATATATAAAAACGGTTCTTTAAAATGATCTATACATAAATATCCATAAATAAAGTGATATAGGGTAGAATGTAGGACGCCTAGTGAAGGGCTAAATGCAAGGCAGTGTACCACGCGGTATTTGCGTGGAGGGATAAGGAAACCGCCAGACACTTCTGTTAGAGTTGTCGGTCTCCAGGCAGAGGTCTCAATCGGCAGCATCTAGAAGAGGAACCACTGAACTGGGACGTCCTTTGTGACGGTCTTCAAAGTACCGCAACGACTCTGGCATGGGGCAACCTTGTGTTCGTTTGCCAACAGTCATCATGCAATCAGTGTACTACAGTCAGAGCCTTGAAGGAAACTGTTTGTAACGCATTGCCCAAATTTGTGTCAGGATACCTTCCTTTCACAAACGTTGAAATCTATCATGCAGCCACCATCCAACGATCCTGATCTCGCTGTTATCACAATCCCGCTGCTTTCGCAGTTTAAAATTCTTTCCTACAGGCAATGCCAAATTTGGTCAAAATAGAAGTATTATATTTTTGGATATTAGCCTCCGGAGATAGGGGCTAGCTCTATCTATTGAACCCAACTGAGTAGGTTTTAGAAGGACGGGGACAGAATCCAGTCTCCGAAACGTTGTGTTTTAAATAAGAAACAGGACGGTTTTTAGGAAATAGACAAGACTATGGATAATGTCCAAAAACTTGTAGCAATATACTATCGTCACAAACTTTTAGATCTTATTGGTCAAAATAGGATCAACGGTGTGTAAATATATAAATAATAAACAGATACACCCTCCGCGTAATATATATTAGAGATAAAGTATAGACACTGAAACAGAAGACTGTTCGCTACTTAATGACCTGGTTAACGCGACATATTTCTTCCCTACAATAACCCAAAAATGAGAAATTCAGAGCCTTCAAGTTTTAGATATGTGGAAGGCTAATGCAGCGATCGATTTCCGTGTCCAGACGGCCACTCCTAGTTTTGCACTCTTATACTAACTGGATGTTGTCAAACCAGCAGCGTACCGTAAACACATGCCGCTTGGTTCGCATGCAACCCTGAGATAGTCCGGGTAGTGACCTTTAAGCCGTGCAACTGCTCTTTACGTCAAGGTATACAAGTTTCTGAACGGACGCCGAGCGTATGTCGCTTAATAATTACAAGAACAAAATTCCAAACAAATATTTTAGAGAGAACTGAAACACATTTTATGCCCATTATATTTTCTACCATACATATTGCAGGTTTCGAGGCAATAAACAAGAGGGAGAGAATTTCCCAAAATTATTGGGCCATGCATACATTTCCGAACGTGATAATATAGCAGTGTTCATTTCCCGATATAGACACACGTACAGAGAACATAGCTGTGGAGGGCCATAGGTTTGTGAACCGTCGAGGCTCCCACATTTTCTCTAGACAATCGGCTCACAGATGGCGGTGAGGTTGTCAGCCTTACGCGCCGGACGTCCTTTGCCCCCCAGCCCCCCAGCCCCCCAGGAAGATTCTTGGTACTCATTTCTGTATGAGGTTGAGTCTACTCCAGAGCCATAGTGCGGCTGGAATGATTAGATAAACTAAAAGCCCAATGAACTAACTGGGAATTGAATCCGCGACCTTCCGACTTGTAGCATAGTGCTTCAACCAACTTAAATTGAATATGTATACCTTTCTTCCAGCAAAAAAAGAAACTTGCAGTAATATCGATTAAGAGTAAGTGGATGCCTGGAATTGAAAATTCCGCAATATAAAAAGCTAAAAGGTATATTTAAGGAACAAAGCTTCTTACTCCCAAGGAAGCAATAGTGGTATCATTTTCTGTCTGATAACGCGCCTGCGCACTATTAATCGATAAGAAAGGCGATCATGTAAAAAATATGGAAGACGAAAAATACGTAGAAAAGTAACAAGGGAGCGAAACTAATGTCGAACAGAGGCATGAGAAGAAAAGAAGAAATTATAGCCGAATACTGCAGAATTCAGCAGTTGACCTTGGCTGGCTATAATTTGGTATGCTGTTGGTATAATACCACAAGATCTTGTAGCAGAGCGAAGTAACAATGCACGCACAGTTTACGTACACATCCGCTCAGCACGTTTCGCAGCTCAGTCGCTTCTTGGTTAGCGGGGGGCACAGGCCTGTGTCATGAGGCGAAACGCGTGAGTAACTGAGTTTTGTCTTACACCCTGGCAGAAACAGAGTAATGTCGCTTCCACGGTCCTTAGCAATATAGAATCTCTTGACCTACCGAACAACTTATATTCAGGGTAAAACGCAAAGTATTAGTGATTAATTATTGGATTATTTGACGGTGCATTCTGAGCTATATATTTTTTGTATATCTCCATGTATTTGTACAATCAGTCCATATTAAGGACTATAACTACATCTTATGTGATACTTAATCTAAAGCTTAAATACTAAGAAAGACCATGTCGGGGAGAGTAATGCTCCAGTGAGCATTCTCTGGAAATCTATTTCGAGTGTAACTTTGTTATTGTATGTATTGCATTTATGTGAAGCGCGTCGTTAGGTCGGTTGGCTTATGCCTTTTCAGTCTTCTAGGCTCGTCTGCCTCATTTTAATAATATGGTTGCCAATTTATTTGGGTGTACTGTGATTTTGTCTTTATATTTACGGCTGATGTTTGTTGTTTCTTCCCTTACTGCGGCTATGCCTAGATCGGCATGTAGCAATCTGTTTGGGACGTACCGCGGTGCACTGACTATGGCGCGAAGTATTTTATTTTGGAATATCTGCAACATTTCTATGCTGGATGTACTTGCAGTTCCCCATAATGGTGCGCCATAAGTCCCAATAGGCTTCAGTATTGTCTTGTAAACTAGGAGTTTATTTTCGGTAGAGGGTTCTGACTTTCTGCCAATTAGCCAATGCATCTGACTAAATTTGATGTCCAATTGTTTTCTTTTGGCGAGAATATGTGTGCGCCAGGTCAACCGCCTGTCCAGGTGAAGACCCAGGTATTTGAGTGATTCCTCTTGTGGTATGCATGTTCCGTTTAATAGTACCGGAGGGCAGATTCCCTGTCTCAAAGCGAACTGAGCCATAGAGGCCAGTGATTCTCAGCCTTTTGGTTCTTGAGTCTCCACGGGTGTTTTTGTCAGACTGCAGCAGAAACAAAGGTTACCATTTTCCAAGAATTGTATCTGTACATTTGTGTATACTTTACTATTACGCTAATAATCAGTGGAAGTTGTGACTTTTGAGATCTCTCGCGTGCCATAAGAGGGGCGCGTTCCACCCGTTAACAAAAAAGCTGGCATAGGGCAGACCAGTTATAAGGTTGGATGATTTGATGATTGCGAAATATGAATACGAAAGGATGCGGAGAGACGCGGTCATGATCTGTATTATGGTCCTATCCTGTTAGTATCAGTCACGAAAATTTTCTGGAGAGTTAGTCGGTCTCCGAGGTGAAAATCGAACGCGACACCTCCCCTCGAATATGAAGGAACGTCAGACATCTCTTAATTAGTATATATTTTGGACTCCTGGATTATGATACCTTTTAGTCTCGTATGTAGTAACGAATGTTTCGGAGGAATATGCTGTCACCATCTTCAGGATAGAATCAATAATTACTATATAGTTATTTGGTTATTTTACGACGTCATATCCGTTGATAATGTGACGCAATTCCGAATTACTAAGCGCATGCGCTACGATGAATACGAACGAAGAATCTGGGAGATGCAACATGCATTGGTCGTGGCCTATCTTAAGGCAGTGCCGTGATGCACACGCACAGTCCTTCCGCTGCCGATGAAGTGCTCTCTGCTGCCACAAGAGGCGAACACCCGGGAACTGCAACTGGCTGAGGCAGGACTGGACCATTTCTGAGCACCTGGTACCGATGTGTAGACCCTACTGTAGATCAGGAATTTTCTCTCAGAACTCACAGTGTATTAAGGATAATAAAAAAAGAAACTCCGTGGTTTTAGTCCGCAAGCGAACTATACCGACCAAGCGACCGCCGCTTGTCGGCGAAGTTAGTGCCAACTATGTGGTCTAGTGGTCAGAGTTCTTGGCTATAGATCCATAGGACCGGGTTCGATTCCCGGCGCTACCAGATGTTCTGAGAAGTAGTGGGTCTGGAACGTGGTCTCCTCAGCCTCGTGAGGATAATTGAGGAAATATATCAAGGAAATAAAGGCTCCGGTCTATAAAACCGAAATTAACAGCTGTGGTGACACCCTCTATCCGCTAAAGTTGACATTAAGGCTAATTACTAGTATAATACTTTCAAGTAAAATCTCGATTCGGTTCGTAAGCCAAGCGGTACCTATTTTGTCTGCGAGGTAGGAACTAAACTATTCATGTTTGGAAAGAGGGCTATTTAGCAAAACCGTATCAAGATCTGAAGTTTATTGGTTGAGCATTTAACGACGCTGTGAGTGTCGAGACGGTATAGCGTCGACTCCCAGTGTTGTTTAGAGACAAGCAGAGTGAAATTATCATTACATAGTATGAAGTGAAAGAGGAAATTGAGGAAGTGGTAGTGACTTATTTCAAGGCACTATTGCGGAATTATATAATAGGGCGAAATTATTTCTCAACAAAAAATATATATAAGGGTATAAAATTCTCCGGCTGAGACTCGAACCAATGATATTCGAATACAAGTCCGGATCGTTCCATATATTGGTTGACAAACAAATATGACATGGGGTATACTTTTACAGCAGTGCTTAATGTTATGCTAAAGGAAATTCATAACGCGGGTGTGATTAATAATTTAAGGCTATGGATTTTTCAAGGTAAACAACCTTCGTGAGACTGCGGTCCGGTAAATTATTTTTTTATAAGACGTAGATCGCCGTCCAGAAAATCGAAATTAACGGCCGTGGGGAACCGTTGCTCTGACCACGTGACACCCTCTATCCGCAAACGTTGGCACTAACTTCGCCGACAAGCGGCGGTCGCTCGGTCGGTATAGTTCGCTTGCGGACTACATGCCACGGAGTTTATTTTTGTTTAGACGAAGGTCCGGCGATTGAGAAACACTGACCTAAGGCACTCACGAACTTCCTGAAACTTGTACACATAATCTGGTAACACCTGATAAATAACACGACACAAAGGCAACTGTCTTAGAAAATATTCTCTTCCTCTGTCATTTTTCCCTAAAATGTGCGTTGCTTAGTGACGGATTGTTGGCTGGCAGGTCGGCTATGCTTCCTGGTTGGTTACTTGGCTATTTATTGACGCTGTCAGCTGACCATTCTGCGCACAGCATCGAAAAATAGAAAGATTAAAGAATACTGATACGGAGAAATATGCAAAGAAACTACTGGCTTAAGTTGAGGTACTACATAGGCAGTCACTCAGTATAGTGCGCCAAAGGGCCCTACGAAGGGTTCCACGGTGTGAACTGAATTCTTCCCTCATAATAAACATTAACAGCCGATCACAGCTGCTGCACGGTCTAAGGCATGAACTGTCTTTGCCCGCTCCAACACTTGGATTGTGGGTTCGAATCCCACTCGAGGCATGGATGTTTCTCTACTAAGGCAATAAACTTTACATTCGTCCGAAAAAACTCCTGACTCTCACCGGGCTACAAGCTGTTGCATTCCAGATGATATGAAGATACGTGCCTTCTTTAAATGTGAAGTCATGTGCGTTATTATATAGTGGAAGCTGTTTCTCCTTCAAGGCACTCTACCAAAAGTTTCTATCTACCAAATTGCACGGAGCCACATCCCAGAGTACTATAATTTTCATTGTCGTCGCCTTTAGACCCTCAAACGTCTCGCAGGGAAATGGGTTATGAGGACGGGAAGTGAACAGAACTGCCTCAGGACCGCGTCTACTGGTGACTTTTGGTATCACCGGTGTTGAATAATCAGGTACTGCTGCCAGACAGCCGATCACAGTGGCCGGCCGAGCAGTCTATGCATGAAATTGTTTCGCCCGCTCGAAAATTGGGATCGTCGGTTCGAATCCTACTCAAGGCACGGATGTCTGTTTGTGTTTATTCTGTGTTTGTGTTAGGTGGAGGCCTTGCGACGGGCTGATCCCCCGTCCAAGAAATCCTACCGACTGTCTGAGATTAAGAAACTGAAGTGAAAAGCAGCATTTCAAGCATGCCCTATACTCCAAGTGGGAGCAAATGGAATAATAAAAGAAAACGAAGACAAAGACAACCATAGACTCGTTATTTACATAATGACCACATTTCATGATGTCATTCGGTCATCATACTGAGGGTCTATTAATAACAGGAAATCAAAAGGTTAGTAAGTACAAAATTTGAGTTTGTTCAAACGTTATTATAGTACGAGAAATACCTGAGGTAACGGTACAAGCCTATGTTTTCTTATGGAGTGATGAATTGAAACTAATGAGAAGCCTTACGAACCCATGAAGGCACCAGCAAGTACGCCTTTCCATGCCTAGAGAAGAATCTCGCAGAGCAGCGCTGGCTCTCAGCCATCTCTTCCAAAACACGGCCAATCCGTCTCGTCCTTTGGCCATATTCATGAATGAGGGGCAAGCAGCTGAACAAAAAGATAGATTATGTAACTATAGGTAATGAAGTCACGTTATATGAATGAACTTGAAAAACACATGCACTAAGGGAGAATTACCGGAAACAGCACAACACTGACAGTGTGTGTCCTTCTCACAACAATAAACTAATGTGTAAAAGATCTTAGCAGAAACGTTCCGGCAGTGAAACTTATCTTTTATTGCTATCTATGGTTTCACTAACCAGCGCTACAATCATATCCTCCTGTGTTTTCCAGTTGGTATGAAAAAATGATCAACTAAGTACCAGAAACTCTATGCGTTAACTATTTTCCCCTCCAAAAAGCAGTCAGCTGTGTGTCAGAAACTCTCAGCTTTGCCCATTTGTTCCTCCAGAACGCACTCAACTGAGCGTTAGGAACTCCCTGCTTTGCCCATTTGTTCCTCCAGAAAGCACTCAACTGAGGGTTAGGGACTCTCTGCTTTGCCCATTCGTTCCTCCAGAAAACACTCAACTGAGCGTTAGGGACTCTCTGCTTTGCCCATTCGTTCCTCCAGAAAACACTCAACTGAGCGTTAGGAACTCCCTGCTTTGCCCATTTGTTCCTCCAGAAAGCACTCAACTGAGCGTTAGGAACTCTCTGCTTTGCCCATTTGTTCCTCCAGAAAGCAGTCAGTTGAGTGTCAGGAACTCTCAGCTTTGCCCATTTGTTCCTCCAGAACGCACTCAACTGAGCGTTAGGAACTCCCTGCTTTGCCCATTTGTTCCTCCAGAAAGCACTGAACTGAGCGTTAGGAACTTTCTGCTTTGCCCATTTGTTCCTCCAGAAAGCAGTCAGTTGAGTGTCAGGAACTCTCAGCTTTGCCCATTTGTTCCTCCAGAAAGCACTCAACTGAGAGTTAGGAACTCCCTGCTTTGCCCATTTGTTCCTCCAGAAAGCACTCAACTGAGGGTTAGGAACTCTCTGCATTGCCCATTCGTTCCTCCAGAAAACACTCAACTGAGCGTTAGGAACTCCCTGCTTTGCCCATTTGTTCCTCCAGAAAGCACTGAACTGAGCGTTAGGAACTTTCTGCTTTGCCCATTTGTTCCTCCAGAAAGCAGTCAGTTGAGTGTCAGGAACTCTCAGCTTTGCCCATTTGTTCCTCCAGAAAGCACTCAACTGAGAGTTAGGAACTCCCTGCTTTGCCCATTTGTTCCTCCAGAAAGCACTCAACTGAGGGTTAGGAACTCTCTGCATTGCCCATTCGTTCCTCCAGAAAACACTCAACTGAGCGTTAGGAACTCCCTGCTTTGCCCATTTGTTCCTCCAGAAAGCACTGAACTGAGCGTTAGGAACTTTCTGCTTTGCCCATTTGTTCCTCCAGAAAGCAGTCAGTTGAGTGTCAGGAACTCTCAGCTTTGCCCATTTGTTCCTCCAGAAAGCACTCAACTGAGGGTTAGGAACTCTCTGCATTGCCCATTCGTTCCTCCAGAAAACACTCAACTGAGCGTTAGGAACTCCCTGCTTTGCCCATTTGTTCCTCCAGAAAGCACTGAACTGAGCGTTAGGAACTTTCTGCTTTGCCCATTTGTTCCTCCAGAAAGCAGTCAGCCGAGCGTAAGGAACTCTCTGCTTTGCCCATTTGTTCCTCCAGAAAGCACTGAACTGAGCGTTAGGAACTTTCTGCTTTGCCCATTTGTTCCTCCAGAAAGCAGTCAGCCGAGCGTAAGGAACTCTCTGCTTTGCACATTTGTTCTGATAGAAAGTGGTCAGGTAAGCATGGAAAATTCTGTTTGTTTCCCAACTGTTCTGGCTGGAAATGGAAATATTAGTTATTAAAAGCGTTCCTACATGGACACATTTCTGTGTTCACCAGTTTTGGTTCTCAGAGAAACTTTTCATTCATAATATTGATACAGTGAATTGCTCGCTGTTGACTATTCCTCTGATTACAGCGTAGTCAACTTAAGTACCAGAAACTTTCCCAATGTCATCTTACGAGTTTCCCATGTACTCATAGTCAGAGTCAGAGTTCCTTTACGACTGGCGGTTCACCGCCAATCAGTTCGTCCTTGCGACAAGCCCCTTGAGAATTTCGAGCAGTAATTTTTTCCCCCAACTGAACATTTGCGGGTATAGTTCTTATGTAACAACCTCCCTGACAGGAGGATTGGTCTGTTGTTTACAATTGCTGCTGGTCCTCGCCAGGGCAGTCATTCTCATGTCCAAGTCCCTAAGTACCCATGAACATATTTTACTGTCTCAGGTTCGAGACTCCACCCAACCTAAAGGGTTAGGTCCCCATATTTATCCCCCAGGAACAAGGTGGCCCAGTTATGCACCCACGCACTGGTTTCCTTATTCGTCGCCTCCTACGACTCGCAGGGCTACGGCGGAGGTATTGGACCCCTGTCTCCACACGGGATACTTATGCACTACGCTGTAAAGTGATCGATTTAAATATTATAAACGTTCGTACGAGTAAACATTCCTATGTTGTCTGTGTGTTGTTCTGTCAGAAGTGTAGGTAGCTAGGTAACAAGCATTATCCTTTCAATTAAAAATTACACAGTCTGTATTTCCTGTTTATATTTGAATGTATTTATTTATGGAATATATATATTTTTAATAGAGAATACAGACGTTTACAAATGTCTTTATTAAATTCGCCCTCTGTTCTTGTGTACCTTCATTAAAAAGTGGGAAAAATAAAAATTCAGCAGTTTATCTTGTAATTCTGTCTTCTGTTAAATTAATAAATTGTGTATGTTTAGCATTTTATCTTTAAATCGTAGATTGATGTTTAGCATTTAAACGTAACATAATCACAATTCTCACAGAGAAATAAACAAACAAATGTTTCAGACTTGACAGCCAAATCAATTTTGTGCAATTTGCGCTGGAACAATGGAATATTTATGAGCTCTGCAGTCGTTTGAACTTGCGTGCTGGAGTACAATTTCCTGAAGTGCTCCTCCACTTGTGAAATTATTGCCGCTTGAATCTACTCGTGCATGAGGACGGTTCTTCGTAGCAGCATGCATAGTGTAATGAAAATTGACTGTATGTGGAACTGCGTTCAGAAACTTTTTTTTTTCCTTGGCACTACAGCCCCAGTGGGCCTAGGCCTACTTCCATGAACTTCTCCGTTCACTTCGGTGTTCAGAAATTTTGGGTTGTTTGAAATGATTTCCAAGATCGCATCAGAATTTATTACGATTAGATCCCAAAAGTTAAATGATAACGGTTTTAAAATGTATTCGAGAGGTTCCCAATTCGAATCTCGGCTGGGACAACGGCAACCCTGACCGCAGTAACAAATGTCGGGACACAATTATATTGTCACGTGTATGGGTGACTAAAGACGCGAGGTTCGGATTGGTAAGTGGATCTATTAGGCAGCTCTAGGTCGTAACTACAATTAATTATAACATTGTTCCCGATTTTCACCCTAAAAAGCACTCCGCCCTAATCTCTTCAGTCTATCTCCACTATCCTTCACGGATTTATAACAAGGAAACTACAAAGCCTCATTAAAACACACACTCCCAATATCACTGTACTACAGCACACGTAAGTCTTCAAACCACTATGAAGTCGCTAAAACACTACTCACAGTACCAAATATCAATTAAAAACGTAAACAACAAGTTTGTTATTATGTAAATGAAACAAACTGATTAAATTTGCAAAGCTACTCATTATATTGGTTGTGGCAAATGTCAAAATTACATTTATTGCGTTATTACGTACATGGACTAAAATCAAAGACCTACAAAACATGACGGAGAACAAAAACATGAAATCATAACAAATATTTGGAAGAATCCGCTTGTCACAGAGGAAAAGATAAGCAGTGTAAGTACAGTCTGTTGCAAAATGAGAACAATACCGACCGTATATTTAGGATATGTACTGTGGATCTCATCAACCCACGGCGGCCAGCGCAAGGTCGAAGAGTAAGCCTGCTTCTGCCATTATTTCGGTTGGCTTCCTCCGAAGTACGGGGCATTACAACCCATGAAATAACACTCTTCACAGTGTTTACGTGTTTATTTATTGCTGCGCTTATCCAGACCGTAGTCTTCCTCATTTATACCACATTTTACTGCATTATTCACAGCGGATGGAAGATTGTTCTTTATAAAAATACACATAAATATAAGTGATATAGGTGACAATTGGTTTTGAACTAGATAATATATTATTTTTTCCCCTTGGCACTACAGCCCCAGTGGGCCTAGGCCTACCTCCATGAACTGCTCCGTTCACTTCGGTTTTTCTACATCTTACACATTCGGTAGGACTCCTTGGGAGGGTGATCAGCTCGTCGCAAGGCCTCTATCTGTACACAAACACAGAAAAACGCACACACAAACTAAATATCCATGCCCTGAGTGGGATTCGAACCCACGATCCCGGTTTCCAAGCGAGCGAAGACAGTACATGCCTTAGACCGCTCGGCTACCGTGACCGGCAGATAATATATTACTACTAATGATTGGTCTAGTAGGAAACCAGTCACTAGCTACGCATCCTACATCTATCTGTATGTCTATCTATCTCTCTATGACTCTACAGCCTTTGTTGGAACTTGGCCACTTTTTAAGTTTCTTAATCTATACACAGTCGGTAGGACTCCTTGGATGGGGAATCAGCCCGTCTCAAGGCAGATATCTACACGAAGCACAACAGAAACAGAGAATAAAGGCACACAGATAAACATGCCTCAAATGGGACTCGAACCGACGATACCAGTGTTGGAGCGAGCGAAGACAGTTCATGCCCTAGCCCGCGCGGCCACTGACATGAGCGTTCTGCACGTGTGTTCAGGGGAACTGAACGTGACCAAAAGATGACTGCAACCGATGTGAAGAACGGGGACAAAGAAGTGACACAAAATTTACAGTGCAATACGAATCATCTGGTGGAAGGAATCGCGGGCACCTCGCATCAGGCAATTGCAGCTAATGCCTAGAGGGGAAAAAAAATCATTTTCCCGTGCCTAATTAATTAAGCACCATGACATCATCAATTACATGTGA